GGGGGTTCGCTAGAAAAGGGGGGTTCGCCCGAACCATAAAAACCCCCCCTGGCTACGGGCCTGATACACAAATTACAAAATAGTTATTCATCGTGTCCGTACTCAGTACTGTACTGTTGATGTATAGTTAACGCGTACTACAGAAACACAAATCAGCATACGCACATCTAAATGTAAATACGCACACAGTATACTGATCATATCACTATAGCAACCGATGACTGCTACCTGTACAACAGTTGGTTACTACCAAAACTGACATTAAAAGACGGGGATCGACTTATAAAGCAATTAGTAGAGCATGCATCGTACACTAGCAGAAAATAATTATACTTAGGTTAGATTTAATGCATTCAAAAAAATTTTCAAGCATTAAATCTAACCTTCGTATAATAATTTTCCTGTAGTGTACCATGCGGAGTTCTACTGATTGCTTAATATTTTCTTGTTGACAAACAGAAATTAAATGTACAGTACAGTATGCCAAAGTGCTGCACAGAGGTGGTGTATTTGAATACTGGTTGACCATAATATATATCCATGATTGACACTGTACTTGGGTTCAATTTAAATTTGCTGAGTTTTGTTTCATGAAAGTTGTTTTACCAATATGAATTATATTAGTTTATTAGTCTTTTACAAAGTACAGTTAGTATTATTTGGCTCTTCTTGGTACAGGGCTAAAAAGAATGTTAGTGATAATGTGTAGTACCGTATGACCCTCTTGTAATAAATATTAATTTTTAACATTATTAATTTTTGTACCATTTTTTCAATTTATAAATCTGCATTGACTTATAAATTTAAAAAAAATATGGTTACACAGGTACTGTACTAAAGAATAACACAGTTTATTAGTCTGCATTGACAAGCCAAATTTTGTAGTTTCTTACTTTTTCTTTTCTTAGCAACATTGATTATCATCTCTTCAACAATTGCTTTATTATCAGGTACAAATGAAAAAGATGAAGTAACTGACAAGAAAGAGCAGAGCTATGAAGAACCCAGTGTTGCCAGTGATAATGTCAGTTCCGATGGTGATGAAGGAACCCAACCAGAAGAAGATGGTATGGAACCTGATGAAGAGGACGAAAATGTCTCAAGCAACCAAGATAATGAAAAAGAAGTTAATACGTTTCCCTGCCAGGAATGTGATGAGCAGTTTCCAACACCATGGGACTACGATATTCATTTCTATACCAAGCATGCACCACAGCCTATTCCCCTTGGTGAACCAGAAACTGCTAAACGAGGTAGACGTAAGCGAAAACTTCGTAAGAGCCCCAGAAAAACAAAAAAAGAGGGCTTAGTAGATGATGCTGATACGGTCACAGACAGCAAATCAAAGCACATATTTCGATCCAAGAGGTTGTGTGCCAAGTATGGTTCTTTTGATGAAGTCCTCAATAGAGATTGTCCTGAAGAAATACGTGACATCAGTATGGTGTTGAAAAAGGCAAAAAAGAAAGTCAAAACAAAAGTACCACCTACCACTGCCCAGGGTTCACAAAGTGAACCTGATGACAACCAAAATGATAACCAAGAGACCAATAATTCCCAAAATAATAACAAAGAAACCAATGATGATACAGAAGATAGTGCTGCTGATGGCGGTGGAAATACTGCTGATGGTTGTGGAAGTACTGCTGATGGCAGTGGAAGTGCTGCTGATGGAGGTGGAAGTACTGCTGATGGCAGTGGAACTGTTGATGAGCCAGAAACTACACAACTTATTGAAGTTGAAGTTTACGATGACAGTGTTCCAAAGAAGAAAGGACGCCCAAGAGGTAAAAGTGGAGGCCGAATTAACCACAGATCATATCCATGCCGAATCTGCTCTGAACAGGTATATGGACATGATTTCAAAAGTCACATGCAGAATGTACATAAATTGAATTCAGAAGTAAAATGCCTAACATGCAACAGAATCTTCTATAGCCAAGACATGCTTCTAGAACATGTTGAACGTCATCGAGCACACAACTTGAAGAAATACATCTGCTCCATATGCGGCAAGAATCTGAAAAACATCTACACGCTTGAATACCATGAAAAGTCGCATTCAAAACCTGAGCAGTGTTCACTGTGCCCAAAATCATTCACAACGCCCGGCACTCTCAAACGCCACATGGTCGTACACACACAAGAAACGCGTTTCAAATGTAAGTATTGTCCGAAAGAATTTTACCATTCAAACAATGTGTGAAACATGAAGCGTCACATCAGGAAAAGACATTAAAATGCAGCAAGTGCGACTTAGCTTTCCATTTCAAGAGTGGTCTTCATATTCACATGCAAACTCACGATCCAAATAGGGAGCTTGTACCCTGCGACCTCTGCAACAAGTCATTTAAAACAAAGGGAAACTTAACCAGCCACATCCGACAAGTCCACCAGAAACAAAAAATGCATGCTTGTACTGTCTGCGGCGTCAAGTTCGCCAAAATGTCAACAAGGAAACGTCATGAAGCAACGCACACCGACGTAAAACCCTATCAGTGTGAGATCTGTGGTAAAAATTTCCGGGAGAAGGGTCATTTGAAACGCCAGGTCGAATGGCACAAAGGGGAGCAAAAGAATCAGTGTGATGTTTGTGGCAGGTTGTTCTCTTTTAAGGATAACATGCTTAAACACAGACGAATCCACACAGGTGAAACACCCTATTCTTGTGATCTTTGTAACCAGTCATTCTCTTACATTGAACAGTTGAATAAACACAAAAAGAAGTTGCATACAGTTGTAATGGCCGAAGATGTTCAGTACGAAACAACATTAGAGATACCCAGTACTAAACCAGATCAGGTACCTAGCTCCAATATTCTTTCAGATGCTATTCAAGCCTGTCTGTCGTTGGATATTGAGTCAACCATTGAGGTCATGTGATTTTACCTGCTGCTATCCAAGCTTGTCTGCCATTGGACATTGAGTCAACCATTTAGATAAATTGATTTTGCTGTAAATACTGTTTTCCTTATTTTGGTAAACAACACATCTTAGTTGATCATTTTTGTAAATAGTTTTTAACTATGTTGCAGATGCAACTTCATTAGAGTATGTTGAGATACAGATCATTAATTAATGGAAAACAACAATTTAGCATGTAAAATAAGATCCAAATGGATGCAAGTTGTTCACTGTAAATGACTTAATTTTAGGCAGTGGCTAAGAGTATTGTACTGTATGCTATCTTCGTTATGATGAGTGTGGCTAGCTGTTTGCCGACCCTAACCTTTATTATTACTGAGACAGCGTACTGCACCATTTTATTAATAATGTATAAGTGGTAACAAACTAACTACACACTTTTCTATGTTGTACACATTGTCAAACAAATATTCAGGTGTTGCATAAAAGGTCTTGCCCCAATTAAGACCACTTTTGGGACCAGGGTTCCCATGGTCTTTCGCAGCTTTGGTTTCTAATTGGAGTAATAAAAAGATATTTGTTAATCTGGGACCACAGAAAAGTGGTTTTTAATTTGGAAGTGGTTGTTAATTGGAGGTGGTCTTTATTTGGAGGAGTCTTTTTACAGGGACACATATAACTTTTTAATATTGTTTTAATACATTGGCTCAGAAATTGGTTTGGTTAATAGTTGTGAAGCAACAATGTGTAACAGTTTATCATTGGTACTCCCTAAACTGATCAAATGTAAATAAGTTATTCAAGGGAATGGTAGCTTAACAAGTAGACAGATATGTTGGTATGCAAACTAAAATTATTTCCACAGTCTAATGTGTTGTAAATTATATGTGCAAGGTCCAGTGAAAGCAATTATTAATCAATCACATATGCATCAATAAATAATATATACAGTTTACCCTCCAATGCCAGACAATCTTTGGGATTTGAACACTTGGGTGGTCTCAAAGTTTGGTCTCAACTTTGAGAGTTAGCTTAGTGTTAATAGATTTGTTCTTTTAAAATGTAGTCTCATATTAAAGGAATCTTGGAATTAGTGGGGTCTCCAATTGGAGGGTGCACTGTATATATATTCATTAACACTTTAACACTATATATATATATATATATATATATATATATAGAAATATAAATCAAGATAGCCGTTAACACTGTTAAATTATATACATAAATCATCAAAGAAAGGTAAATACAGTGTTCGAATAAAGTACATAATAATACGTTCATGCTGTCTTTTTTTTGCGAGATTTGATCAGTCCATTGGTTGTATTTTGTTTCCCTTTACTTGTGTTACCATATCTTGTGAAAATCCTTCATAATAACTGTTCTTATCTGTCTGTTACCCATATACCCGTATACTGTTTTAATAAAAATTGACAAAATATGATTGTTTTCCCGATTTTCTTTTTCTCAATGATGTGGATAATTGATCTTCCAGTGATATATAGTATTCGTAAAGTAATTTATATTTTACGCTTTCCATTTGCGCGTGTTAAAAATGTGCTCAGGTGTCGATCAAGATGGTGCATGTGGGACAAACACACGCAATGAGAAAAAAGAAATAAAGAAGAAAAAGCATATATAATACTTTTTGTTATTTTTTTGTGGTTGCGTGTGTTCGTTTTATGACAAACAAGCAACACGCAATGGAAAAGAAGAAAAAACATATACAATACTTTTTTTCATTTTTTTTTAGTTGCGTGTGTTCGTTTTATATCCACATATCTCGATTGAGACTGGAGTAAATCTGGAACAAACAAGCGCAACTGGGAAGATGGTGCTCTTATCTCGAGGAGGTGCATTTATTGAGTCATCAAGCTGAACTTTTTCACTTGTCTACTATTCTTAAACATTTAGGTGTGTGGGTGTGCTATTATGTACAGTGCAGTGTGTCTAAACACACTACCACATTTTATGTGACAAATTCGTGTGCCATGCCCATATATGGGCATGATGATATCATATTGCACCACACATCAGTTATTTGTCGTAAAATGTCAGTGCGTGGACAGAGCTTTATATACTACAGTACTGTATATGACAAATGAAACAGAAGTGAAATAATAGATCAATTATGCATTGATTCATTTTATTGTGAATTTCTGTTTTTTAAAAGAAGCGCAACATTTCATGTATTTTATCATAAACTGAATTCACAGTTGATTATTTAGTTATTATGTTCAAAACTTTAAAAAAAACACTAGTGCGTTGCATTACTAGGCCAGAGCAAAACCAAAAACTAATAACTAGGTAAGATAGTACAGGTATAATACATACTCTAAGCATCGAAATGCACGCAATATTTCGACATTAATTATATCGATGGTGTGCATTTCGATACTTGGAGTACGCCTATGCATTATACCCATTCATTCATCTTTTATTTCAGAATTTTAAATCCATAGAACAACAAAAAAGAACATGGCGATCAAAAGCACAAAAAAAAAAGATAAACACAATTTGCTGTATCCACTGTACATTAATTAAGTTAATTATTGACACACGCAGAAGCAATTAAAGTGGGAAACCCCACAATCAACAGAAGAAACTGTGACTTCCGAAAATATTCAACAAAATTAATCAAAACATCTATATTAACTTAAACAACTTTGACTACACTATCCGAGATTAATCAGTAGACCTTTCGGTAATAACTAAGCCTACATGAGGAAAAAAACAAAAACAAAAAATTAGGTGCATTTACTAATTAATAATCAAATACAAAACTAAACGATAAAGTAAAAACTAAAGTGAGAAAAATTGGGCAAATAATTACTTATTAAGAGTTAAAGTTGTTAAAACAGTAGTGAGAACAGATTAGGTCTGTCGGGAGCGAACATATAGCCTAGCTAGGCATAAGGGGAAACATTTTCAATGTCTTGCTCGCCGCCAATCAGTGGTTTGTACCCTAAGCTACTTTTACGGTTTTTGACGCTTCGTGCCAACGACACACATCCCACTAAAAACGTCATCACACCAACTAACATCATGACGTTTCCTCCCGTGCTCGTCTTCTTGGCCGATTTATCTGGAAAAGGAGCAAATATTATAATCAGGATTAAAATACTGTGTTGTCATTTCATTTCAAAGAATTTAAATATGATTTATTCGAATAAATGCCCCGCTTCGAATAAATCCATGTAAAATCT